AAGTCATGTTTCCACACTGGTACATGGCCCAAGAAGAGCTCAGTACTGACTTTGAGTGTATTGCTCTCCATCTTCCTCAGTGATGAACTCAATAGAACAAGTATAATGGAAACCTTGTAACTGGGAACTCCCCGTGCTACAAGATTGCAACAAATGCCATTTGTAATGCTGTACAACTTAAATATATATGGTTATATAATAGCTCTTAGGTCATTACTAAATGACATACAAAACATTATTTTACAATAACGGCAGCCAGACTTGGGCAGTGGTCTAAGCACTTGCTGTGTTTCCTAGGCCAGAGGCACGGGCACACCATCACCCTTGCTCACTGATGTGAACACTGACATAGAGCTAAGGGAGGGAATGTGGTTTCATCATGTCTTCCTGCTTTCAATTGTTAATAGCATAATTCTATGGGAAGGGCAACTAAGAATGAAAAGTTTATTTTTGGCTCACAGTTCTGGTTCAATTTCAAGAGGTCACAACCAATGATGACCTTCCTGGGAGCTAAGTGATGAGGTGGTTCAGAGCACCACATGGCAAGAGACAGGAAGCACAACAGAAACATGGTCAAACTTGCAACAACAGCAGTGTCACTCTAGAGAAAGTGTATTAACGCATTGGTCTACTTGTCCCATGAATGGGTTAATCACCTCATAAAGGTCCCACCCCCAATCTCTCCTAATAGAGATGGCATTTCATCATGAGTCAATCTCTCCTAATGGAGATGACATTTCATCATGAGTTTTTAAAAATATTTTATTATATTTGATTTATGTGCATGAGTGTATTGCCTACAACTATGTAAGCACACCCGTGTTGTGCAATGCCACGGAGGTCAGAATAGGGCATCAAATTCCCTGGAACTCGAGTTACAAATGGTTGTGTGCTGCCATGTGGGTGTTAGGATTCAAACCCTGGTCCTCTGTAAGAGCAGCCAGTGCTCTTAACCATTGAGCAATCTCTCCAGTCCCTCATCATGAGTTTTTAAAAGATTGTATTTATTATTTTTTATGTGTATGAGTGTATTGCCTGCATGTGTGTAAGCGTACCCATGCAGTGCAATGCCCACGGAGGTCAAACGCAGGTGTTGGATTCCCTTGGAACTAGAGTTACAGACAGTTGTTAGCCACCATGTGGGTGCTGGGAATCAAACCTGGGTTCTCTGTAAGAGCAGCCAGTGCTCTTAACCACTGAGCCATCTATCTCTCTAGCCCCCTCACCTTGAGTTTTGAATGGGAAAAACAATAGCCCCCACATAATAACAGGGAAACCTAGGTTCTAACCCGACACTATGGCTGCCAACCCACCTCACTGTGCTGCCTTTAAATGCAATATTATTCCTAACCTGGAACCACTTTTGACTCTTATAATTATTTTCTTAAAATTCTAAACATCTTTGTGCCTCCCCTCTGAAAAAAAAAAAAAGAAAAGAAAAACAGCATTTGGTTCCAAACCCAAGCCTGTGACAATGTTCGTAGTTTTTAAATATATATATTTTTTACTTTATGTGTATGCATGTATTGCTTGCATATAGGCAGGTGCACCCATGTCGTGCAATGCCCTCAGAGGTCAGAAAAGGGTGTCAGATCCCCTGGAATTGGAGTTACAGATGGTTGTGGGTGCTGGGAATTGAACCCAGGTCCTCTGCAAGAGCAGTCGGTGCTCTTAACCACTGAGCCATCTCTACAGCCCATTCCTAGATTTTTTTTTCTGAGAATGAACCGTGATTCAATTTTAGATTTAGAAAGAAAGGGACAAGGAAGAGAAGAAGAATGAGTGGTGGACAGGATACTAACTGATGAGTTTTCAAGGAAAAAGGATGACTTTGTGGTCAGCAATATCAGCACACCCCTGAAGAATCTTCCAGGTGTTTTTTTTCCCAAGCCTCGGCTTTCTGCTGATCAAAACTAGCATTCACAGCTGACTGTGCATGTTGTAATTGTTAAAATTGAAAGAAACTCAACCATTAAGAAAAAAAAGCCTACAAAAGTACTTGGAGCTCTAGCAAAGAAATAAAACAAGAACACCAAGTCCCAAATTTTCTGTTGAACAAACATGGAAAAGTTCAAAATGTATCCAATTATTCAACTACACATGTTCTCATAAGGCTGTTAACAGCAAACCGTGATGAGTTCATTCTGAATAACAACACACACTTGGAGAATTATAATGTTTACTCCAGAGCCCTTGCAACATCTAAGAATTCATATCATCATCCATCTCTTCAAAGGCACTTAGAGACCTCAGACAAACATAATTATACAATGAAGGTAAATTTCAAGAAATTTAAAACAAATAGAGTCTCAACAGCACTGTTTGAAACAGTTCACAGGTGTTTAAACATCTACCTATCCAAACTCACCACCAGCCTTGTGTAAAGTGTAATGTATAGAAAAGGGCATTTACTCATACTCAAAGTCCAGGCAATATCTCTGACCAATTAATATCTGAAATACTTATTTGCCTGAGCCAGACACCAACCAAAACAAACAAAAACAAAACAAAAAAAATAGAAAGCTTAGTGGCATGCAACAAACAAGTTTATAATTGTCATTTGATGGTGTTTCTTGTATAATTTCAAATATAGAGATAAGTTGTCCATAAATTTTTTTAAAAGAATTTCCCCAAATCCACATGTGAATAATTTGCATGAATGCTCAAGGCGCCATCATCCTAAAATATTTTAATGTGCACTTTCTACAAACAAGACATTGTTCTATGTAACAAAAACATAACTGCAAACCAGGAAAGTAATGTTAATCCACCAGCACTATTTAATCCTTAGACCACAGTACAACTAAATCAGCTGCCCCAATAATAGCCAGAAACTCAGATTCCACAGTTTTCATATTTCTTTAGGATCCTTTAATCCAGGCATGTCACTTGTGACATTGCAATTAAACTAAGTCCTCTACAATGGTGTGGGGCCGCACTTAAAGTTCTTGCGGGATGCACATGGCCTATGGGATGTAGGTCAGACACAGTCCTGCCTGTCCTCAGTCTTTTTTCACTTTCTGGTCCTTAACATTTCTGAATTCAGCAGGCCTGCTGTTTTTCAGGCTGTCTTTCAGTTTGCACTCGCTAATGTGTCCCCCTCACTTGAAGCAGCCCTGTGTTCTTCCAGGATCCAAGTAGGCACTGCCAGAACGCTCATGCTAAAGTCACTGGTTTCCCTTTTTGAATGGGTAGGTACTGCGTCCTATTCATCATCAGTTTCTCACTGTGCTCACTGCCCACATCAGAATCTTTGTGACTTCCTGTTTTATGTACAAGATTATGTCACTATCTGGATAGCCACACTCTGTCAGCAGTTATTAACCCTTTCAAGGACTTTATAACATCACAATCATTCTGAGTATTTCCTTGCAGCCTGGGAATACTAACGTGTTCCAGACTTTTCTTGTACTTCCCTTTTCACTGCTGAACTGAACCATTTCTTCCATGATCCCAGTTCCCTCTAGTACAGAAAGTTACATAGAAACCAAATTCCATAAAGTAGATGTCACCCAACCAGGCTTGTGCTCCCAGGTTCTTTCAGTGGACAAAGCCAGCAGCTACATGCGCCATATAACATGTGTATGTGTGCTTGTGCACACACAGGCACAATTTTATACAGAAAAGTCTAAGTTAAATCTGACAACACAGTTCATTCTAATTTCCTCTCTTTTGTATCTGCAGCCCCTTCTCCTCTGAAGGCCACGAACATTAATTAATGGATAGATAGACAGCTGACAGAGATAGATGATAGATTGATAGATAGATAGATAGATAGATAGATAGATAGATAGATAGATAGACAGATAGATGATTGATAGATAGATGATAGATAGATAGATAGATAGTAGATAGATAGATGATAGATAGATAGATAGATAGATAGATAGATAGGTAGATAGATAATAGATGATAGATGGACAATAGATAGGTGATAGGTAGATAGATGATAGATAGATGATAGATAGATAGATAGATAGATGAAGATAGATATAGATAGATAGACAGATAGATGATAGATAGATAGATAGATAGATAGATAGATAGATAGATAATCGATAGACAGATAGATACAGATATAGATACAGATATAGATACACATTTGACCAGTCCTCTGGATGGACCATTCTCTTGTGTGTGGCTTTTGCATTAACACTCTTCTCACCCCATTGAGGTTGCTGCACCCTCAGCCTGATCAGACTCTACCTTCCCACACAAGGTAAGGTACCTTTCTCAGTTGCTCCCTCCTCCCCTCTATCTCCCACACCCAGTTGGACTTCTCTCTTCTGGCCACTGTCCTCAGCTGACAAGCACCTTCCACATGCTGGTTTTCATACCATGCTGGCCACATCCACACTCTGAACCCCACATGGGCTCTGTCTCCCTGCTCTGAGCCATCGTGGCAGCCCAGTCCCAAGACTGCCCCCTTCAGAAAAGGAAAACTAAGTTCGAGGACAAATTTTACATTGAAATAGGATATATAAATTTACTAGCTGGGATACACAATTTTCCATTAATTCATATTATTTTCAGTATTCATACCAGCCTCTAAGAATGGACAAAAGAAGGGTTGGCCTTTTATAACACTATGAAAGAGGGAAATATGCAAAGGTTCTCATAGAACTGGACATCAGTATTTTACTTCCCTTTCTATAGATAGATAGATAGATAGATAGATAGATAGATAGATGTCTCTCCTAATAAATCTTTGCTATTTAACTTCAGATATCAGAGGCTTGAGAATAAATCTAGATTTTTAGAAGGAAACTTATTTTAGAGATTATCTCTCTTTTTTTTGATACAGGATCTTACTCTTACAGCCCAGGCTAGCCTCCAACTTCAGATCTTCCTGTCTCTGTCTTCAGAGATTATAAGATTATCTTAAGTAAGTGTTAGCTAAATTAAAGTGGCTGGCTTTCTTTCTTTTTTCTATCTGTTATAGGAAAACTTTAGTGAGTCAACCATAAATCAAATGGTCAGAAAATAGAATTTGATCTTACCCTAGAAAAGATGTTTTCCAAGGAGGAAGTTAAGGACCTCTTCGCTTTATTTTTCAGAATGTCAAGTTTGAACCTCCCTCCGCTCGTCGAATTTTCTGGAATTGTACTATTTGAAAGGATCTGGAGAAAGAAAAGCAGAGAAGGTATGGTTTGGACATACTCAAGGTTAAATGAGGCTTTCAACAGAGGCTCAGACTAAGCCATTAAAATATACAAGAACTCTTCAGCAGCTCTATTAAGAAGTGATAACTTTGGTTCCACACTGTGAGCACAAAGCTTCTAAGGAAAAGATTTTAATATTGCAAGTAATAAAAAAAAAAGACAGGAAAAACATTTCTTGTGCCTTTCCTTTCCACTAACATATTCCTGCTTCATTTTCCAAAAATTAAACTTGGGATATCCATTTTTCTGCTGCTATTTCAATTAACTACCACCATCCCTAAAAAAGGAATCTGTTTTATGTCCCAATTACTGAGGAAAACACAGGAAATAAGTTTGAAAGAGCCAAACACTCTGCAAACCGAGATACATGCTAATGATGCTTTGGTTAAACGCCATTTTCATTGTGTGGACACCATGTACTCTTTGGATCAGTAAATGTTCACCAATAACAGAAACCAAATGAGTAAGTGATGTGTGCACTGTGAGCTTCTAAGTATATTTTATCCCACTGAAATCACCGGTGACTCTGGATGGACTGCATGATTTTTAGGACTTGATTTTTAGGAGTGAACTCTTACAGTTTTCTGGAGGAATAACAACAGCACAGAGCACATGTAAGTATCAAATGGGAAAGTGTGAAGATTGGTTGTAGGTCTCAGTGGTCAGCAAGAAAAGGATTAAGGAAAACGGGACAATGACTCTCGCAGAATGGGAGGGTCAACAATGGCAAAGTCACCATAACTAGACTGCCTAAGGAACAGAGTCAGTAGCTAAAATAGAAGGGGTGGGACATAGGAAGTAAAGCTGGGGGAACCCTAAATGGTACGTGAAGTGCCAGATAAATATGAAAATGATTGAAGTAAATGCTGGGAAGAGAGACAACTGGGAGAAAGTTATGTTTTAGGGGAATTTATCTACTATGGGTGTTTAAAACATCCAAAGGTCTGGGAAGTTGGAGACCGAAAGCAGACAAGCCTGGAGAGCCAGGACAGCCCACTCAGGACGCCATAAAGGGCCACTGCTGGTTGTTCAAGAAGTTTCGGAAGGGCCAGCAAGATGGCTCAGCAAGTAAATATGCTTGCAGCCAGGCATGGGATCCTTACGTTTGATCCCTGGGACACACATGGTAAAAGGAGAGCAGATACCCACAAGTTCTCCTCTAGTTCCACATACATGACATGGCACATATGCACACACAGACACACATACACATATAATCAATCAATCAATAAATAAAATGTTACAGCTTTTTTTAATCAGCTTTGGATATAAAGCCAGGCATGGTGGTTCATGCCTCTCATCCCAGCAATGGAGAGGCTGAAGCAGGAGGATAGAGAGTTTGGGCAGCTTGGGCCTCATAGCAAGAGTCTGTCTCAAGATAAAAGAAATTACTGATGAAAACCTACAGTGAAATACACAACCAGGATTAGTGTCCTTAAGAGGTACACATACAAGGACCTCCCTCGAAGATCTTGGGGTGACCTTGCTTTATCACTGTGCATCCAGAAGTAACTTCGAGGCTATGACCCAGAGATCCCATCCTTCAGGTTGCTGCAGAGGCAGCCATCCACATGGCATGAATACTGTCCTTGACACCACTCTGATAAAACACTCATCAGAATATGGAAACAATCATAGATTAATAACATTTTTTAAATTTTTATCGTTATTTTTTTATGTGTATGAGTGTATTGCCTGCACATATTAAGTGCACCCATGTCATGCAATGCCCACGGAGGTCAGAAGAGAAGGTCAGATCCCCTGGAACTGGAGTTATAGACAGTTGTTAGCCACCATGAAGGTGCTGGGAATTGAGCCTGGGTCCTCTGCAAGAGCAGTCAGTGCTCTAAACCACTGAGCCATCTCTCCAGCCCCCAATTAATAATCATTTTTAAAGTACATGCATTCGACACATAGACAACTGCTTGTTTTCTAACCCAAACAACCTAATTATTTTACATTTTGAAACTATAATTATTTTATCTCAGTGAGCCAGTGCCTGTTAAAATTTCTCATAAAACTCATAAATGCGGAACTTTAAAAAAAAAAAAAAGTAAAAGGCCTGATAAGCTTTCACCCTAAAAACTGTCCAAAGGAAAGAAAATGCTTTGATGTTCTTTAGGGTATTTTAACTGTGTATGTTAGTAAATACACAAAGGCAAATCAAGGAGAAAGCTTGTTCTCACCGACGGCCCTTCCCCAATGTGCACATGTATCTTCTGCTTGGCCTCACAGAGCTGCCTCAGGTGTAAGATGACAAGTTCATTCTCTTCCTGGTCACTGATGGGCTTCATTTTCTGTTAACAGACGAAGCACAAGCACAGTAAGGCAGCACAGCCTGGCTTCTCCTACGGCAGCCTCACTTATCTGTCTAGCAGACAAACATAAGGATGGCTTTCCTCTTCTGCCAGCTCCTCACCTGGGGCATAGATCTTTCAGATAGAGGAAGGAGAAAAGGAATTCAACAATAGGATCCAGCTCTTGCTTATTATATTTGCTTATGAGAACTACAAATAATGTTACCTGAACCCGTTCAAAGATGTCAGCTTGCTCATTATCTGTCAGTGAGGAGAGATGCCTCTGAATTACCAGCTTGGCTCTAGGTGGGTAGAGACCTAAAGGAAAGGATGAGGGAAGTGTGAGGCTGGCTGCAGAGGCCTAAAGTGTGTATCTGGCATTGCATCTCACCCTGACCCGGATGGCTCCTAACTTCAGTCTTTGCAAGGTGACCCTGAAGTACAACAGTGAAATGATTAAACTTGATGGCAAACTGTTCCACCAAAGCAAACATGTTCTGTTCCACCAAAGCCAACATGTTCTACCATGATCCTGGAGAGAGAATTACTAACACCATGTTGCTTTTTAATATATATATATATATATGTATATGTATATGTGTGTAATTTTATGTGTATGAGTGTTTTGTCTGCACATATGTAAGTGTACCACATGCAGGCAGTACCCATGGAAGCCAGAAGAGGACATCATATCCTCTGGAACTGGAGTTACAGATGGCTGTTAGCCTCCACAAAGGTGCTGGGAACTGAACCCTGGTCCTCTGAACAGCAAGTGCTCTTAGCCACTGAGCCATGTCTCCAGACCCTACAGTTTTGCTTTTGTCAGGTATTTTATTATAGCAACAGAAACAGACAAGAATGTATTCCATGGCTAGGCCTCACTTATTGCATTGCTACTAATTTTGATGATAAAGGAGATATCTCACTATATATAATATAATAAACTTTTAGATGGACTGGCATTTTTTTAAAAGTTGGTACTGGGCCAGTGAGATTGCTCAGCTGGTAAAGTTACCTGCCACCAAGCCTGATGACCTAAGTTCAATTAAGGGGAACCACATGCTGGAAGAAGTAAACAAATTCCTAAAAGTGGTCCTCTGACCACCACACAGCATGGCACACTTGTATATAAATAAGCAAATGTAATAAAAATAATCTGGTATTATAAGACTATCTTTCTCAGGTTGTAGGAAATACATTCCATGATATTAAATCATAATTTGAATATTTCCATGTATTCATTGCTTATTCACAATGAGTAAAACAAAGTAATTGACTAAAATACTTTCTTATAACTTAATTCAGTATCACAGAATTTAAAAATAAACAATCATAGTTTACAACCCTACTGTCAAGCTTTCTAATTGGATTTCTAAGAAAAATACAAGGCAACAAAAAATACAAGGTGACAACTAACTGCAGTTTACATTTAGCTGCATGGTATGTGTGGGGGGCATGTGTATGTGTGTGTATGTGTTATGTGTGTGCATGCATATGTGGAGGTTAATGTCAGATGTATTTCTCTATTGTTCGCCACTTTGTTTTTCTGAGGTGCCTTCCAGCTCAACTGCCTGGCTATCAAGCCCCCAAGATCCACCTGTCTGCCCCACCTCTGACTCCAGCACTGGGTTTATAGGTGGATACTACCACATTCAGCTTTTACACGAGTACTGGGGATCCAAACTTAGATCGTCATACTTGCACAGTGTGCTGGATAGCTTTAGTGTCAACTTGACACACCTGGGTTGAGGGAGCCTCAATCAGGGAATTGCCTCTATTGGACTGGCCTGTGGCCATGTCTGAAGGGCATCTTCTTGATGAGTGATCTGGGCAGGCCCAGCCCACTGTGGGTGGTGCCACCCCTGGCCAGGTGGGCCTGTGTTGCATAAGAAAGCAGGCTGAGCAGGGGCCAGGGGAACAAGCCAGTAAGCAGTGTTCCTCCATGGCCTGTGCTCCAGCTCCTGCCTCCAGGTTCCTGCCCTGAGTTCCTACCTTGGGCTCCCTGATGAACTGTGACCTGGGAGATAAAAGACAAATAAACCCTTTCCTCCCAAAGTTGGTATTGGTCAGAGTATTTTGTCACAGCAATGAAGAACAAACTAGGACACACAGTAAGTACTTTATCCTCTTAGCCACCTCCCCAGGCCCTACATTTTAGCTGCCTTTTGAAAGAACTACCCAGATCTCTACAGACAACATGGCAGAGAAACCCTTTAAAATACATTGCTTTTTTAAAAAAGCAGAATTTAATTACAACTGCCAGGATTCACGCACAGTTGGCTTACATGGGCTTTGCTACAGCTGTACCTGTCATAGTCCACCATGTGGAATGGGACAGGGACAAGGAGCATGTCTGCAAACTTCTCAGCTCTGTTTCTCTGTGGAACACACCACAAAGTTCTGTGATCACAGAGGGAATACTGAACTCTATTTCAATGATGGGAACCACTCACAATCCTAGCTTACTATTTGCTAGCAGAGTCTCCTAAAGAGGCTCTCAGATGATGTCTGATGATTATGATTGACAGCCCGAGATGAATGAAGGTCAGGCTGACAAAAGGCTGCATGAACACTGTGGGAGAACTGGGCAAAATGGCAGCTATATGTGATATGGGGCTGTGCTTGGATCCTGAAACCTCCCCGAGCCCCAAAAAATGCTAGTTGAGATCTGATGAAGGGTTTTATTTGGATAATAGTCTATACCAAGGTCAATTTCCTATTCTGATCATTGACCAGTGCTATCATAAGACATGAGCAATGGGGGAGAGATTCAGAAAGCCCCTGCAACTCCTCTATAGAGCAAAAGACCAAAGTCTTTCAAACTGAATATGACATCATTCTATGCATCTTACCAGATGCACTACTTATGCTGTGCAATGAAGTAGTCTGTCACTTGTTAATGGTTTAGGATGTATCCATGTTGACTTACATTTCAAATTTGTTTTCACATGTTTCATTATACACAATTCAGTGATGATACTCATGGACTTTTAGGGGTTTTTAAATCTAATTTTCCTTTGTTTGCAAATAATATAGCTTTGAAGATATCTTTTGCCCCCATTTAAGAGTTTCTCTTAGGCGGGACTGGAGAGATGGCTCAGTGGTTAAGAGCACTGACTGTTCTTACAGAAGACTCAGGTTCTAATCCCAGCATCCACATGATGTCTAACAACCATCTGTAACTCCAATAGCAGGAGATTCAACACCCTCTTCTGTCCGTTGTGGGCAGTGCATGACACAGGTACACTTACACACATGTAGGCATAACACTCATACGCATAACAGTAAATTAATAATTTTTTAAAAGAGTCTCTCTTAGGGAGGGAGGGCATGGGAAGAGCTGGTGGGGGACTGGGAGGGATGGAAATGATAATACTCAAGTATGAAATTCTCAAAAATAAAAAAATTAAAGCTGGGTGTGATGGCACACACTTTTAATCCTAGCACGTGGGAAGCAGAAGCTGGTAGATCTTTGTGAGTTTGAGGCCAGCCTGGTTTACAGAGCAAGTTCCAGGCAACTGGGGGTACAGGAGACCCTGTCTCAAAAAGAAAAAAGGAAAGAAAAGAAAAGAAGCAAAAATTAAAAGAATAATTTCTCTTATCCAGTCATGGAACTTCTAGTTAACAGGGTACATATGATGCTAAGTTAAGGAGTTTATATTAATTGTTCCACACCCAAAGTGACTATACCAATTTGTACTTCATCAGTAAGACACAAACGGGCTGGTACCCTGATCTTGCCTTTAACAGTCCATCAGATGAGTACCTTACAGCTCTTTTCATCTTCATGACTACAACACCTAGGGAAGTTCAACAATTTCTCATTTTCATTACTGGCCCTTATAATTTCCTTTTCTGAGAAGTTTTTTCTTTTTAATATGGCTTGTACAATTTCCTCTGTGATTTTAACTTTTTCTTATAAAGTTTTGATAAGTTCTGGATGCCAGTCTGACTTATCGTTGTACTTCAGAATAAGCAGTTATTGTTATGCAAACACTTGAAATTCTTAAGTCAAACCTGTTGGTGATTGATTTTAACTTTTCTTTTTTAAAAAATTTTTGCATCTTAATGCAATTATCCCTCTTCAAGGATTAAGAATGCTATTTTATTTTAATCATTTTATTATTTGATTTGTCTATGCTGAGGATTCCTTTGATCCAGCTAGAATATCTTTCAGGTAGATAAGAAAGGGATCTTTCTCCCTTTGGATAGGTAACTGCTCCAACACTATTAATATCCCACCTCACACAGAGATTTATAATGCTCCCTTGACCAGGCACTTATACACACAAAAAAGGATCCATTTGGTAAATGCTGTATATGTTTGAAAATAATGAGCATTCTCCTTATAATTCTCAAAACAACCACTATAAAATTTAAAATCTGAATATAACTTTGAAATAATGTTAATTATGTAGCTGCATGGATATTCAACAAATCTACTGTTTATCACTGCTGTTACCATGTGCCTGTTTGCTACTACAGAACAGATATCATAACTGGCATCCGTAATGAGCAGCCCACGCCCTGCCTTCTGGTGGGGACTACTCTGCTTCCATCTATCACAGCATCTATCATCCTGAACTGCATTTCTCTGCTCACAAGCCTGTCTTCCACTCTGAACCAAAAGCTTCCCGGAGGCACAGTCCACATTTCAAACATTTCTCCCTAGTGCCTACTGCCTGGTCCATAGCAGACACTTAACACGAGTTTATAATGTGTTTCTTCACTTGTGCGGTAGTTTTCAACTTCTGGTATTCAGACAAGATAATGGGAAGAAAGGGAAGTTGAGTCACCTCTCCTTCATACCCTCCTCCTCCTCAGCATACAATTTTTAATGTACTTCTTGAGGTCACCTCCATCATCTCTCTTTCCCAAAGATCTCTGAACAGCCAAGCAAGTTTCACTAAAGTTCTCATCTAGAGAAAAGGAACACATCACTAAGGGAGAGGGGGAAGAAAAGGAAGAATTAACAGTGTGTGATGTTTGCCTCTCTCCATTGATTCAATAAATATTTGCTCAGTTCCCACTGTGCACATAGCAGGATTTTAAGAACTGTGGGAAACACAAGCCCATTCCTTGAATTTGCCTTCAGAAAAACAGAGCAAGAGACGGGGGAGCGAAAGTCAAGCACCCCAAAGTGACTGACAGCACACACAGATTTGACTGGGCATGGGAAATGCTCTTGGGGTTCTTGTTCACACAGAAACAAAGATCTATTCAGCATCAGTGCCAAATGCCAAAGCAACCTCCTCTCATGCCAAGGCCACGTTCTACTGTACCTTCAATCCTCTCACAGAGCTTATGTAAAGAATGCATGGGGCAGGCCTCACACAGCTTGATCTGTGTCTTGGCACTCTGCAGTGCAGCCGCGGTGCTGAAAGCTTGCTTCAGAGTCAACATGACCTCATCCACCTACAAGAAGAAACAAAACTCGGGTCTGTAAAAGTTGGCTTTCATAGAAACATCAAAACCCAACAGCAATGAGAGCTTTTATGAATTCTGACTAAATAATAAATAATAGAATTCTGATGACTAACGGAGCTGGCACAGAGCAAACAGCAAGTCTTGAAGTTAAATCTTTCTTCCATATAATTAAAAGCTGAATGAAAGAAAACCACTTTAGTGTGTAATATACAATACTGATCTGTTACTCAAATACTATTTTTAAATCCCATGGCAGACTACATTATCACAGTTTAATTAGTAGATCAGGTCTCTGCTTAATTAGATGATTTATCAGATAAAGACCTCTTTGGAAGTTTTCTTAGCCATGTATTGGGAATAGCAAATTAGATTCAACATTCAGTTGTGTTAATAGGCATCCTATTTATTCTTCCACAGAACTTTCAGTATAAAAATAAAGCTTCTGAGGGGAAATGAGTTCAGTTTAAGTAACAGTGGGGAAAATCTCTGAGCATTGTTGGTCTTATTTCTACACCTTTCACTTATTTCCATTTTACTTGTGATTTGTGATCTAAGTTCTGATATTGGGATGTTGCAGAGCTGGGTCTCACCACTGGGCCAGCAACCACAGGCCACCAGCTGCTTTCCTTCTTGCTCTTCCAGTGACTCCGTCAAAGCATTTTAATCTACCATCCAGTGCAGTCAAAGCATTTTAGTCTACCCTCTAGCTACCCAGGTGCTTCTGTGAAACCAACAAATGGCTCATCCTCAGTTCCTAACTCATCAGCTGCAGCTCCTTTTTAGTGACATGATCACTGAAGAGATTTTTTCCACACAGTAGGACACAGGTTACATTCTAAACCCTTCATGGGAAAGCTATGGAATCCTAACAGCCTTATCACAACTAGATTTGACATGCAAAACCACCTACCATGCTTGGTAAACCAAGTTTTTATTCTTATTTTACCCCCTTCCTCTTCGCTTGGTTTAAGAATAAATTGTTATTTAAAGGATTTTAATCTACTTCTGCATTTGAAGGTAAAAGGAAGCTGGAATATAAAGAAACTTTACTTGTGTAGTAACACTGAAAGGCAAACTTCAAGACTCTAAGCCATCAGTCATCACTAGTGTGCTTTATTGTATGACAAGCTTAAGAAAGAATAGCAAGAATTCCACAGAACTCCATAAATAAAAATGAATTTTTATAAAATGTTAATTTATACTAGAATTAAAAACCAAGGATTCCTCATTCTTAGAACTAAAAGCACTGCATGTTTAATGCCTTTATATTATGATTTAATTTACCTTATTTTTTATTCAAAGGAAATTTAATTATCTATGCAGGTGCTCATTTATTCATAGTCTTGTTTCTTATTTATGTCAGACACTGAAGGAGTTGGTGATAAACTTAGTAGCATAAATAGCATATATATATAATGCTATATATAAATAGCATATATTTAGATATATATGTGGCTGGTATTTGTTACTTAATACTGCCTTATAAAAGGTTTCTTATGCAAGTATGTTTGTGTTTTCTTCTCCGTTTTCAGATGAAACAACAGGCCATTTCAATGGTGTCTGAAAAGTGACCACTAATTTCTGGCCACAAATATTACAAAAACTTTTATCTGACTAAAAAAATATTATGTGTTTTGTTTTCTAAAATGCACCACTTTTTATTTGTTACTTAATGCTGCCTTATAAAAGGTTTCTTATGCAAGTATGTTTGTGTTTTCTTCTCTGTTTTCAGATGAAACAACAGGCCATTTCAATGGTGTCTGAAAAGTGACCACTAATTTCTGGCCACAAATATTACAAAAACTTTTATCTGACTAAAAAAATATTATGTGTTTTGTTTTCTAAAATGCACCACTTTTCCAGATGGCCTATAAATTCTATCATGAGATCAATTCAATTAAAAATTAAAATTTCACTATGAGTACAAAAATTCACAGGTCATGCCAAAAAGTTTTTAAAAGCAAAGGGACAGGCAGAAATAAGCCAGTCATACAGGAAGAAAGAAAAGTATCCTCGGCAATCACTATCTGGCAAAGTTTCAGTCCCAGTGCAAAGCATGAGCTTAGATAAGGAAAGCTCATTTATATTAACAGGGCAATACATAATGAACATAATGTTTATAGATAGCATATACTAAACCTAAGTATTATGTTGCATTTTCAATAAAAAATAATCAAAGACCTAGTCAAATTTGCTGAAAAAAACTTCAAATTCCAATTTTTCAAGCTATTAAATGAAAATGGCATTCTTAACAACTGCTAACAGACAATGGTCAACTTCAGAGGTTAATCACTCACATAATGAAGCATCCCCTAGGTGTGTGAGATTATAAGCCTATATATCACACTCCATACTGTGTGCACATGCTCACGCAGCTGCTCATGCACCCAAAGTCATGTCCCATCCCTCTTGTTCTGAGACCAAATGATACCAATACTTGTATCTTTCTTCAAAAAAGAAACTTTCATAGATTATTGCTTGTTCCTGAAACATCTCATCGCCCCCACCACCACCACCCATTGCTTGCTAGAGATTTATAAGCAGAGTTCACTGCAGATGTGAGAGAAAGATGACATTCTGGAATGTGGACCTCATTCTTCTAGTGGCGCACTCCTTCATTTCCAATGAGATATCTTCCTTATTTCACTAATTCTTAACCTCACATGAATTCTGGATCTGAGGCAGCACGGATCTTGTTTTGTTTACTGTTTTACTTTGGTTATACTGTCACTGAATATTTTTCTATGCAAGTTTGGAATGCAGATTTCTTTTATTTACAAGTATCAGTAACTTTTAAAAGTTAATTTTGGGGAAGTACTTTTGAAGAAATATTTTCTATAAAATTCAAGAGTTGGAGAAATCAGATTAGCTACCTTCCTACCTTCCTAGTGAAAGGAGAAAGGGAAAGCAGGAGGAAGCAGAGGAGAAAGGGATGAAAGGAAGGAGGGAGGGAAAGGGGGAAGAAGAAGAGAGGGGAAGAAAGGACAGAAGGAAGGAGATAAGACAGTAGGGACAGAGGGAAGGAGGGAAAGAGAAGAGAGAAGAGGGAAGAGGGAAGAAAGAAGAGAGGGAAGGAGGGAAGTAATAGGTATCTAGATTTCCGGGACAACCCTCCAGGACCCATCACACCATACTGTTTACAAACCCATCACAATTATTTCAAAGAAGCAACATAAAATGGTAACTGTAGATACTTGGTATTCAGAAGAGACATGTGGTTTGGGAATATTTAGTTTTCTACAACTGCCACGCCACATCAGTACACACACTGCTCTGAGGGACATTAATGAACTGACGATCTTGCTCTGCTCTATCTGTCAGGGCCAGAGCCACCCTCTACCACTCTCTATTATGCAGAATTGTACACTGTATCTTCTGGCGTATAGTTCTGATGCCTCTGAGGACTCAGTTAAGAAGCTGACTGAGGCCCTGCCATCTCAACTCTCAGCCCTACTCAGGTCGTTAGGACCTTCATACTCTCAGACCTACCAGACCTCCCAGACTTGTCTTATCTCTCAACTCCCACCAGAGAAGCTCCTTTATCCAGCAGATGGTAGTTAACAGAGAGACCCACAACTGGTCAATGTGCAGAGAACAAGAGGCTGCAGAGTGCTTAATCTTGAACAGGATACTTATATCAAACTTCAGCCTCGGGGCTGTGGGATCATTGTGGAACAGTGTGTGGAAAGCATGGAAGAGTCAGGGGTGGTAGATGACGACAGGGAAACAGACTTTTACAAACAGTCACACATGGGCAGTTACTCATATGAACTGATAGCTATGGTGACAGTATGCACAAGTGCCATGTAATCTCAAGCAAGACAAAAACCCATCATGGACGTAAGGAGGTGGATAAGAAACCCCAACCCTACCTGAAGTGCTATTGGCAACCGGCTGCTGGGAGGGGAGAGTCAGTCTCATTTAAGGGTGAGACCCTTGGGAGCTTGACTAGGCTCCAGTGGATGGACCCACATCGAAGGGCATTTGGGGACACAAGTTTGACTCTACAAGCATATCATATATATATATAATGGTGTACATGAAATTGGGTGGGGTGCAGATGGGAGAGGGGATCTAAAGTAAGTCAAAATATACTGTATGAAATTTTCAAAAATTCAATTCAAAAAATTTAAACTTTAAAAAAAAAGCTGACTGATAACATTTGAATGATTAGGGCTTAAAGTATCTTAGTTTGGGCCAAAACTCAGCCTGATAGTCCCTCACTGGAGGGCATTCCAAGCTGTTGTGGTTCCTGGTGCTAGCCAGGGAACAGTCATGGGAAGGCTGCAAATCCCAAGCCTTCTCCCAACATTAGCTGTTTCCAAAACCCCCTCTGCAAACACAATGGCAAAACAAACAAACAAAAACAACCAACTAAACCCTAAAATCAAAACAAAACCTGTAAAAGAGATTCTGAACAGGTGGGTTTCATCAAGCTCTCCTTCCCAAGCAAAGGATGCAGTGAGCAGTCATCCTTATCATGTCTGCCTGACCTTCAAAGCAAGGTGTTCATTCTATGACTTAAAACATGTCCAAAAATATAAGCCACATTCCTGGGGTTCACCATGAATGACAGCTACCCGGGCTGTGAAGACCTGTGGGCAGAGTATATCCAGGCCCCATCATCAGGATGTCTGCTGTCATCGTCTCCCAAGGTTCTGTCTTGGGTTCTAAATGGAACCTATTAGCGGAAAGGGGTCACTTGGCTATGTAGATATTTACCAGATAACAATAATTATCTAGGGGGAAAATGAAGCTCAGATGGAAGTCTCTGAAATAAGAAACTGGGTTAGGGACAGGGGTTTTATATTCCCTAGAGAATAGCAGGAGAATCAGAAGACAGGAGTCAGAAAGTGCCTTTGTACAAACTATCTCTCATGTGGAAGGTGAGAATCAAAAAGCGGGATTGTAACAGTCACCAGGAAGCAAGCACAGTGTTGCCTAGAATATTCATACATGGCCGAGTTGTACATGTTTCCTTGGAAGAAATACTAATGGGAGGATTATATGTTTATGAAAATGGGGGCCTGAAGAGATAGTTCATAAAGTGTTTACCTCACAAACACGAGGACCTCAGTTCAATCCCCCAAACCCACATGAAAATGTTGGGTATGGTAGCACATGCATGTAATTCCAGTGCCAGGGAGGCAGAGACAGGGGGCTCCGTGGGGCTCACTGAACAACCAGTCAAGCCTAATTGGGAGCTCTAGACAAATGAGAGACCCTGTTTCAAAAGAGGTGGACAGCATTCTTGAGGGTGACACTCAAGGTTGTCCTCTGGCCTCTGCAGACATGACCAAACAGGTATATGTGCACATATACAAACACAGATACGACCTTGTACACACAGAAACATACACGTACACATACACATTAAAGAAATAAAAGAATATTTATTTGCATAAATGTATCTAAGAATGGTGCTGTACACAACTGAAGTTTGTGTTAGGGCAGACGGAGGAACAGCATGGGTGGAAAAATCAGAAAAACTTTGAGGAAAAACAGAAAGAATCAACATATTTCTTAGCCAGATGCATTTTCAAGCCTGCCTTACATAGTTCCCTCAAATGGAGAGGAGTGGGGAGTGTTGGAGAAAATTGACTTGCAAATTCCAAAGAAAGGAAATAAATGAAGTGTTTTGAAAAATTAGGTTGTAGTAATGAAACAAAGAGAAAAAACAAAACAGTTCTTTAGTCTCTTATCAAGTTTTTTGTACTCTAAGATGTTGTAGCAATAAAGAAAACAGGTCAGCAACCTTTCTTATCATCTTGGAATGGAAAAATAACAGCTTTTCTCCTGTAGTCTTTTCTTCCCCCTTTAAAAGCCCCATGAGATTTGTTAAACCCAAGAAAATACCCAAGCTTAAAACTGCTTGCTAATCCCTTTGTGTTGCTCTACATGTATGGATTCCTCAGGGGTGAAAACAGACCTCTAGATGCCCTTTGCTTTCCTCACTGAGGGCCGAGTTCACGAGAGAACAGACTTCTGTTAGACAGATGCATTGGCAGAGGCACGGGCCATGCCAGCCCCACTCACCAGAGATTCGCTGGCACACTGGAACACATAACAGATGTACTGGCTCAGTCCAGGCTCTGCAGATTCCCGACAGATAAAGCCAAAGTGATCAATGTGCTTTATTCCCTAGACATCAGGAAAGAAGTGCAAACAACATTTATGGGAATGTGTCCTCTTAAAACCAATGTGGAAATCGGCATCATTTTCACACTTTCCCAGTTCTACAAAGTTCTACACCTCAATGTAGGAGAACTTGCATCAGAGCAAGCTCACAGGATGGCCTGATTGATGCAGCAGAAAACAGGAGACATTCACACAGACTTTGGGCTTCTGATTAAAAAAATGTTGAGAGCATAATCTACTATTTCTTAAAATAATAACAAGGTATTGGCTAGTAATGAGTTTTCAATTTATTGTCCTAACACAGCAGTCAATGATTCACCACAAACCTTGTCTTGTTTGTGTGAAGTTAAGAATCTCAGGAAAGGTAAAAGTGACAATATTTAAATGCCATGAAATTCCCTAAAGAATGCATCACAATTATTGGAATATTTATCTATTTTTTTAATTATTTATTTAATAACCACATGATTAGAGGAAGCATTTCATTACAGCATTAACATATTCAATAACAATTTCCAGAGCAAAGATGCATCTCTTTCAAAATTGGTTGTAAATTTTTAGGTTCACAGTAGAAGTTTTAACCTTTAAAAAAGATCTCCAGGGGCTGGAGAGATGGCTCAGGGGTTAAGAACACTGGTTGTTCTTGCAGAAGACCCAGGTTCGAATCCCAGCACCCACATGGCAGCTAACAACTGTCCCTAACACCAGTCCCAGGGGAGCTGACAGCCTTTTCTGACCTCCGGGGACACTGCTTGACACGGGTGCACTTACCTACAGGCATCATACACATAAAATAAAAAAAAATAAAATTTTAAAATTTTCTATTTCATTTTAAAGTATACTGTTTCATACAGAAAAACTCATTTTTAATGCTACTAACACTTAGATGTTTGTGCATGCATCTCTAATCTCTATGTATCTGATTATTACTACTCACAGTTGGGTTTCTTTCTAAGATCCTTGGCACCTGAGCATGGATATAAAGTCATCAGGTAGATTTCAATGGTAATGTGTTTCACCTCTACTAATTAACATGAAGCAAAATTTTATGCTTTCTCAAATATAACTCATTTTTTTATTTGTTAATTTTGTGTGTGTATTTCATACAGAACATCCCAAACAATCTTATTCATCTATATACCTACATCCCAAATGGCACCCTCCCATAGTCTCCCTGCTCCCCTCCCCAGTCCATATACTCTATAATCCCTGTTACTGTCCACTGTGTTGTCGGCGCCCCCAGCCGTTCTCCAGTGCTTGTCCATTCACTGAATCTAGTCAGCCTAGCTAGAGTTCCTTGTTTTAGGAAGATCAGCTCTTCCTTATCTAGCAGCAATCAGTTGCCAGGAATATTTATCTATTTAGAGATACTCAAAGAGTTACTCTATCAAAAGACTGATGTATGTATTTATTTATTTAATTATTGTAGGTACAGTGTCCACATTCACAAATCATTATACTTCCTGGCTCTAAGTTAAAAGACTTCAGCTGTACTTGAAAATTCAGTTGGGGTTGGGGTGAGATGGCTTTGTGGATAAAGGTACTTGCTGCACAAGCCTGGCAACCTAAGTTCAATCCCTGAACCCACAAAAAGTGGAAGGAGAGAATCAACTTCACAGAGCTGTTCTCTGACCTTTACATGTGTGTTGTAGCATGTACAATGTATATTATGCACATACACTAATAAAAAATAAAATTTTAAAACAAAAATACATTTTAAATTCAGTGTGAATACATATATACCAATAAGCAGGCAGTAGCTCATTACTTTAATAGCAAGCATAATTAGTTGAAAAACTACATTGATAAAAAAAAATTAAAGTTTCCCTGAAATCACCTAAATTCAAGGGAAACAAGATAGGCTTTGGAGTTGGATTTGCACTTAAATCTTGGTTCTACTTACCATTTGGGTATAAAATATTGTACTGAGCTGCTAACTTCTAACTGTAAGTCTTAATGTTTTCATTGCAAAATAGCATAATGGGACCTACTGTCAGGAATGTTTGAGATCTAGAATTGAGAAATATCTTTGATGATTCTGAGAGTGATCAACAGTGACACTATCCTTTCCTGTAATAAGATGCTCAATCTATCCAATGAACATGAAAAAAATAAATCAATGCTAGTTTAAAAAAAAAAAAAAAGTTGGTAAGGAGGAGTGAGGCTGCAGTTCATGAGGTAAAATGAACTCCATCTGGCACCACCCAGAGATGAAAGACTACCTTTCACTAGCTTAATACCTAGGAGGGGGGAACGGGACTCTAGGGCCTCAGTGGGTCTTCAGATGGGGACAATGTTTCCAGGAAAGAAGCCCATTTTGGCCAAGAAAGTAGTCAAAGATTTTAAAGAAAGATATATTTGTCAGTGTGAAATTCTCAAAAACAGGCCTGTTCTGAACACAGTCCCCTCATATTCACTCACATTCTGCAAGGAGGCTAGGAGAGCAGGCCACTAGTAAGAAAGGGGCTCTCCTGACCACTACTCTGATTCCAGGTCTTCTCATCAATTTCCCTTATGACATGTTGTCTGATTCTTTCTGAGCTAGAATATCAAAATTCAAAGTTTGCCTTTAATAAAAATAAAAGAGAAGGTAAAAAAATCATATTTGAACTTCCACTTCTTCATATTTGGTTTGGCTGGATCTTCTCTGTTTTTGCGTATGCTTATTTTCTTTTGGATACTGAGCATTGATAGTATACTTCCTGGGCAGTTTACGGAAGTTGAGGACAGGAGGTATGGCGTTAAAGGATGCCTCTTGGTACACAGCAGTACATGAGCTACATATCTGGTTTACACATCACTTTCTCTCCAGCACCTGGCCAAGGCCCAGTATAGAGAAGGGCTCATTCAGTCTACATTTACTGATCACCTAAGGGTTAGTCTCCACACCAGTACAGCAGATTCCAAAGTCCCACAGACCATCAAAGAATGTCCCAGTCTTCAGAAAACTTGAGACCTCGCAGGAACCTCCCAGTGAAGAGATAACTACAAGAATACTTAATAAATACTGTTCCAGGTAAAATTATCTTTTTATACCAAATTTCTGTGCTCTTTAAAGAGGAATTTCAAAGTTTGCAATATATCCTCATGCAAATGCTAACACTCTCTAAGTTGCTAGAGTAGAAAATGTTTATCACTCAGCAAAATTTCATGTCTATATTATAGGAAAAATATTAAAACAAAATATTACAAGTGAAAGTATACTATCTCACACTGAAGCAAACAACTCATAAGATGTACAAAAAGTCCAGTCATCAAAGAGAAGAATGTTTGACTGTCCTACCTAGTGTAAGCTACCTCCAAAATTCAAAGAGAAAGAGAAGAAATCACAACAGACATGATTTTTCAACATCAAGATGTAGGGACCCTGTAACGACCATGCTCCTTGAAGGTACTTCAGTTCACCAGGCCAGAGGAAAAAAAAAAAAAAGGTTAATTCTCAATTCCTTAGAAGTGTCTCTGAATATTTAACCTTCTCCCTTTTGACTAAATACTCCTTCTCTTTTGACAAATTCAAAATTTCTTTCCATATTTACTATATGTTTAGATGGCTCAAAATTTTGGGTAGATATTCTAAAATATTACCCTGGTCTTATGATACCAGTTTATGTTTAATATTATGTTTATACACTTTTGGATCTATCAATTATTTTCAAAGTCACTTAAATGCATATTTTGTGATCTAAAAATAAAAGAATAAAATTCCCAAAAAGACACGAACAAACATTGGAAACTAGTCCTTCTACCACCTGCTATGAAATAGAGAATAACCACGACTCAGTTAAACCCACAAGACCCATGGCCCAAGATTCTGAGGAGCACCGCCAGTGAGGTGTTTTCAAAGCAACTCACCACCACAAAAATCCCACCAGCAGAAGGGATTCAATGGAACACCACTATCAAGAGAATGAGCCGACGAAAATAGGAAAAGTGACAGACACTGGAGGTCCTGGAAAGGACTGTGTTGTCTTAGAAACATGTACAAATGTTAATTGATAGGGACAAATTCTGTATATAAAAATTTTTTTTCTTAAATTTAGGCTCAGCATGTACAAGGCAAGTCCTGGGTTCATTTCCCAGAGAAAGAAAGAAGGGAGGGAAGAAGGGAAAGAAAAACTTAAACTTTTTAAAGTAGTACAACATGACAGTACAGTGTAAGCCCAGTTATTTTGTGGTTACTATAGAAACATGACAGTTGATCTCCTCAAATGCTACGATGTCACATGATACATACCTGTGAACAAGAGGAGATATCTTTAAAATTCTTTTCTAGCACAACTGATTTAGTGTCTGGGCTGATAAGGTTAATCTCAAAGCGGCCAACCTTAAAAAGAAAAGCATTCCAATTAACTTCAATTCATAAGAACCTCACATCTTCCTGACAATTAACTATCCAACAACATAGATTCAAATGCTATGTCCCAGATAAACCCATTTCATATGTGTTCCAACATATAATTCAACTAAAGTTCAGCTGTCTCACAACATTTCTTTCCTCCCTTGAAAACTCACAAAATTAAGCTGGCCTCAAATTATAGAATATAAAAGAATAAAAATTTTTTTTTCAGTTTAGAAATAATTTTCAAAAATTTGTAACCTTTCCTTAGATCATGATTCTTTAAATCATGAATTATTTACTTACCTTATAATCAAATGTTCTCTGAAATAGTCAATGAAATTACATATGTATAATTGGGCTAAGTAAAATTTTTGGAAAATAAATGGCCATTTCAAAAAATTAACAGCAAAGATTAGGACTAACTATGAATTAACTGAGAGCCCAAAGAAAAGAGTTTACACAACACCTTAGGAAAAACCAGAACCACTCTAACTACCAGCCCAGAGTGGGACACACACACACACCCCACCATGAACTGACAAAGCAAACATTCCACACTGGGGCTGTTACCAAGGTACACTGTGCAATTTCTTCTCAGGGGTTATTTAAAACAACATGAAGGAGAGTATTTCTTTTTTTTCTTAAAGAAAAAACAAATGATACAAGTCAAAGATGAACTAAAGACTTTCACCAAGGCAAGGTCATATAATAATTTTTTAAAGTGGAATGTGACATTTTCTATACCCTGTACACCAATTATTTATTTTTTGTTTTTTAACCTAACCCTCTAACCTGCCAACAACCCCTAACCTCCTAACCCCATGTACCACAATTTAAAAGTGCTTTTCTATTCTTTTTTCTTTCTTATTTAGAAGAAGCATTTCATTACAGCTTTAACATACTCAATAACAATTTCCAGAGCAAAGATACATCTCTTTCAAAAGTGGCTATAAAATTCTTAGGTTCACAGTTGACATAATCCATCACAGGTGTAGAGAGAAACCTTGCATTCTATTCTAATTGTCTTCTGGGTTTCCATAATGCTTCGGTTCTTTCTCCTCCCACTGCTTCTGCTTTTAAGGGGGAAACACAAAGTTGAACTGTTCACTGTGGCTACTAGGGTCAGCAGAAAAAGGAGGAAGAGGGTCCAGGACAGAACTACTGGGAAGATAGCTCAGTCCCTAAAAGCAAGAGGAACTTAGGTTTGATCCCCAGAATCCAGTTTAAAAAACAAAACGCGGGAGTGGCCAAGTGTTTATAATCTCACTTCTGGGGAGGAAGACAGGTGAATCCCTGGAGCTCTGCTGGCTGACCAGTCTAGCATACTTCATGAGCTCCAGACCAGTAAGAAACCTTGTCTCAAATAAAACATAGGATGAATGTCCCTGAGGAAAGACACCCAGGATTGTCCACTGGCCACCGCATGCAGGGAAATGCAGATTTGTGACAGAGAGAGAGAGAGAAAGAGAGAGAGAGAGAGAGACAGAGAGACAGAGAGACAGAGCTCTCGAGACAGAGACGCTGAGACAGAGAGACAGAGAAAGAGAGAGACAGAGACAGAGACAGAGACGCTGAGACAGAGACAGAGAGAGAGAGAGTTACTTCCAGGCCAGTAGGAGAACCTGTCTCAAAATAAAGCACAAAATGAATGATGCCTGAAGAAAAACACCCAAAACTGTCCACCTGTCTCCACATATCGCCAGACAGACAGACAGACAGACAGACAGGCAGGCAGACACACACACACACACACACACACACACACACACACACACACACACACACACACAAAACCACCAGCCCGCTGTTCAACCCACCAAGCTGCAGGCCAAAAGCACTCTGCCGGCCTACTCAGAAAAGCATGGTCCTACCTGGAAGAGCATGGTCCTGTTCTTCTCAGAATCTGAGGGCTGTACATGGCTGGGCGCACTCGCGTGCCTCCTTCTGGGCTGTGGTTTCTGGCTGTTTTCATGAACCTTCTTTTGCAGGACTCCGGTGACGCTGCTGCATCGAGCCCGGAACTCCTGCTGTTCATCAAAGCCACAATCTTCCAAAATCCGCTCTGGGAAGCAAACCCTAGAGCCGGCCAGTGCCGGCTGGCTGGCCAGGGCAGGCAGGGTGCGATGGTTGTTGACTGCACCCTCCACCTCCTCCGGCAGGCTGTACTCAGGGGACCCAGGCGACTCGGCCTCCAAGACACCCAGCTCTTCCCTGGGGTCACCCCGCTCGCCCTGCAGCTTCAGGCGCTGCTGCTCATGCAGGCTGAATTTCTCCATGCAGTCATCAATGAGACTGGATGGTGCCTTCTTGTGGGTCACCGTCACCCTCCCACAGTACAGAACTTCGAACTTCTGAGAGTTGTAGAAGGCGTCCTCTGTATCTTTGCTGGGTTTTGCATCCTCCTTCATGGCAGCCTTGGATAATTGTCTGATGCTACTGATCACATCCGGAACCTGGGGGAAAAGTAAAGTCTTCCTTTCAGTGGGAGCACGCGGAATAGAGTTTCATCCTGAACAAGGAATGCAGGCTGTAAGAAACCCTACTCAAGAGAGAGAGTAAAGTTACATTGTCACATAAACTGCTTCAAGGTAAAATTGAAATTTAATGCAAACTTACTCAAATTGAAATTTAAGAGCAGTAGTGCAGTGTCCTATTTAAATACACTAGTGTCAGTCAGATGTGGTGGTTCACACCTGTAATCCCAACACTTGAGAGGCTGGGGCAGGAGGATTTCTATGACTTAAGGCTAGCCTGAGCTACTGAGTTAGCCACTACCTCAGAAACAACAGCACCAACAACAAAAGTACTAGTTTGCCCAAATCAAAACATGAGACTAGGTCACTGAACTTTTAATAAATTATATTTTTGACTACATGTAAAAGTTTTAATGGACATCTGTTGAAAGAAACTAAAGTTGAACAACAAGGATAAAATAAGCTATGAATGAAGGGATTAAAGTCAGACACCCTCATCAGCACTAGCAAACTAAAATCACAACCAGATAACAGTGAAAACCTCTGGAATGGCCAATGTCCAAAGGGCCACAGGGATAAGAAGTGGCTGAATTCTCAAACAGATTATGCAGGAATGTAAAAGGACACTGGGCTTTAGAGAGCTGTTAGTTTCTTAGGCACTAAGTGGATACCTACTCACGAACCAGCTATTACACTCCTAGAGATTTGTCTAAAAGAGGAAAAAACATGTCCACACAAAAGCTTGTACCGAAATATTCATAGTAACTTTGATCACAATACCAAAACACTGTAAGTAACCCAAATACTCATCAGCCCAGAGGGAGAAAGAAAACAGCACATGTGTACAGGGCGATGCCATTCATCAGCTCTTACTTGGCTTCCTGCAATAGCTTTTCAACTGAATCCCCCTTTTCCCATCAACATACTGTCAAAAAAACAAAATGACCCTTCTTAAACTTCAGGTTTCAGGGAACCAAACTATGACTTCCCCAAATATGCCACTTTGGCATATTGATTATTTTGAGCTAAAGAAACTCCAATAAAAGAAGATGTAAGGAGGGCATCTGTACTTCCTTTTTGGCCTGAAGGAAGGAGATGACTCCCACACAAATAGAAGCCACGATGAACCAGGAGGAAGGAAGGCATTTTTAGCACCAGAGAGCGTCATCAAGGCCAGGAGAAACCTGGCACACCAACTATGAAACTAGCCCTATCTTCCCACTCTTTACAGTTACCCTCCCTAGCTCAAACCCTGCTGCTTCATCTCAGTTTTACAACTTAATATTTTTGGTCTAGCCTAGTATATAAATATTTTCCTTAACTGTTCTTTGTGCCTGCATTTTTCTCATGTCTTCTCACATAAATGTAAATATTTCTAAACAAAACAAAATGTATGTGCCTTCACCTGTTGATCTGGCAGAATCACATGCCAGTCACCATTAGAGAGCCTAAGAAGAAAGGAAAAAATCCCACCTGCCCACATCACTCACTTGCAAACCCTTGGCTAACCCCCCATTTTGAAAGCATAAAAGATAGACTCCTTCCAATGTCCTATAAACACCCTTGTCAGTCACTGTTAAAAAACATCCCCAGCCCCCAGCGAAACAGCTAGCTTCATCAGATCAGCTGTGACTGCTTTCAAGAGTCTATCAAAATAGGGCCCATTGACTGCTGACATTCCTTCATAGAAGGGGGGTGTGGGGAGGATCATTGGACCCTCATCTGAGATTCCAGCCACTCCTCCCAGACATCAGTCTGCAGGCAATTCTGCCCCTACTGCATGTGTCCTCCAGGGGTATAGGGCCTGAGGGGGTGCTACAGTATGTAGCTGTAGACTGAAGGCGTTGGAGGATCCCACCTATAAAACTATGAGGAAGCCATCATCCGTGCTGGGTGAAGACTTTCCAGCATGGCCGCTTTTGGGTCATCCACACTCCAGCCAGTAACCCCTCACCCAACTAGCCCTAAGATGGGGCTCTGTGAGTAAGCACAAGAGTATGCTTTGGTGGAATCTTACTTTTGTTGTTGGAAAGGAATTTTCACATCAGCCACATATGAGATACACAGATTAAGTCTGTGCTTCAGATGCACAGCCTTCCTGTGGTAAGATGGTTCATCTGCCCATCCTTACCAATTTCCTCTGTATCCCCAACTGTATTTCCTTCCCCACTCCAAGGACAGTGGCCTCCCTGCTAGTTCCTTAACACACAAGGCACATTCCTGCCTGAAGGTCTAAGTCCACACTCATACCCCACATAGCCACTAAACTCACTCCTCATGTCTTATCTAAATCCATGTTCTAATGTCAGCTTGGGAGACAGTGCCTCTAAGAGTCTACCACCTTAGTGCACACATGAACACAATCAGCCTTCCTCCAGTATTTCCCCTGCTTTAGTACTCCCCTACTGCCCAACACTTTCAACATTCTTGATAATTTATTCTGTAAGACAAAATATATGTTCTATGACAATGACTTCTTTTTTTTTTCTTCCACTTGTTTTCCTCCTATATTCCTGGATCATAGTAGATTTTCAATATATGTATTAGCCTCACAAATTTTCAGTTATTTTATCAAAGGGAAACCTCTTATGTTCAGGGTTACTTCCTATTTTGACATGTAAATCATGTCCTTACATCCTCTAGCACCAATATCAAAACCAGGACTTCTTCTCCTACACATGGTTATTTAGGATAGGCTGCTACGGCATTCATGGTTTTAAATCTTTAAGAGTTTCAGCAGATTAGCTTGATTATTGTCTGCGAAAGGGCAAAGTCCTCACACTGCAGTTTCAGTGCCTCACCCTGAACTTCTGACAGGTCTCAGGGACACAGTCAGGTAGGTGTCTGTGCTAGCATGTGACTCACAGTCTTAACCCTGGGTCATCTTCTTCTTCCCTTAATACATGATTTCCCTACTTGAAGAGGACACAGTGTCAGAGAGTGAGCTAGCTGACATCCAACCCTACCACAAAGTACAATTATTTCAGTGGGTTGCACAAAACCTTAGGAAAATTATCTCTTCTTCCTCATCCACTCTGTTCCATTAAAGACTCTTCATCTCATTATCAACCCAAATATCCCTAAAGCTCCCAAGATACTAAAGAGTACAAAATCAGAAACATCTGTTGTAATTTTTTAAATTTTATGTGTATGTGTGAATGCCTATATGTGTACAGTGTGTGTGCCTGGTGCCCACAGAGGCCAGAAAAGGGCCTCAGATTCCCTGAAATTGTAGTTATAGGCAATTATTAATTTTCATGTAGGTGCTAGGGACTGAACTGGGCTCCTTTGCAAGAGCAGCAAGTGCTTTTAACCCTGGGCCATCTCTCCAGCCCCTGTAGGAATATATTTAACTTGTGTATATTTTTAAAATCCTATTTCTTTTTGGTTGTTAGCCTGAGCCTTTAGCAGCCGAGCTATCCCGCCAGCCCTAAAATGCATAGCCCAGGCTGGCCTTGAACTCCAGATCCTCCTGCCTCTGCCTCCTCCTTCAGCAAATCCTACCGGTGTACACCACCACAACCATCATGGGGCTGGAGAGATGGCTCAGTGGTTAAGAACATTGGTTGTTCTTGCAGAAGACCCAGGTTCGAATCCCAGCACCCACATGGCAGCCAACAACTATCTGTAACTCCAGTCCCAGGGGATCCAACAGCTTCTTCTGACCTCTGCGGGCACTGCACTACACGGGTGCACTTACCTACAGGCAATACACACATACACATAAAATAAAAATAATAAATAAATTTTTTAATCCTATTTCTACTCTTTAAAAAATGTGAGAGCACCTTTAGAGTTGTCTTCTGCAAGTGAGATCAGTTTTGCTTATGCCCAGTCCTCTGAGTTATTTCTCTGACCGTCTTTCTTACTGCTACATGGAGACCTCTTAAGTGAAAGCCTGACCCATGGCTGAACTTCCAGTCCCTAGGAATCTTCTCTGTGACCACAGTAAAGGATTATTACCTGAAATTCAGTATATGACCCAATTCACATAAACAAAGCTTCTCATCCTGAATTCTGAACTGAGAAGGTAATTTAACCTTCCAGAAATTGGATGTGTTTACCTTATAAAGTTGGTTCCAGTTCCTCTAAAATCGTCTCCCAGACTATGTCACCACAGCTTCAATGGTCTGGGCAATGGACTCTAACCACAAAGCTGCCATGAAAATGAGATTCAGCTCTGTTTCTGCTCCTCCTTATATGAAAGACACATATAAAATTTAGGGTCCCATAGCCCTGCCTATACACATATCCCACAACAGAAAGGGAAAGTCTTATCATTATCATTATTGTGAAGACAGGAAAGTATCCATAGTAGGGAAATGAATTATCGGAGAACCACACACACAAAAAAAATGTTATTTTTAGCCTTTTGCTAATGGGATCTATCAGAAACATTGTAATAGAAATAAAATATCTAGTACTGGTAACATAGGGCACATACTTGGTTTGGTAGAATTAACAGTGTTCTTCCACAACACAGGGCTAAGTGCCATATTTATCTGTATGGTTATAAATATTGCTAAATAAATTTGAGTCCTTTCTGTACGCGTTATGTCTCTGCAACATCTCTCATACCACGATACTGTAAGCCGTTAAGTGAGAAAATCTAAGTTGAGGTGATTTGTGGATTCCCTTTGACCACCGGGAAAAACTTGTGTGCAGAAGAACTCGAATGAATGCTGTTGGGGAAAAATAGAGCTCTCTCTCTCGCTCTCTCTCTCTCTCTCTCTCTCTCTCTCTCTCTCTCTCTGTGCGTGTGTGTGTGTGTGTGTGTGTGTGTGTGTGTGTGTGTGTGTGTCCGCGTCCTGATAGTCAGGGACCTGGTCCCCTCAGAGATGAGGAACCATAGCTGCTCACTCCCCTCTCTCATTGCTCACCAAAAGCAGGAAGTGCCTGTGTGTTTTCAGAAGGGCTCCAATGCTGCTGCACCCCCAGTGCTATGGAACATCATAGTACACACTCCAGCTATGCATTTC